GAGGACCATGATTTCAAATTCAGTCACAAGACGGCTTCAAAACTGGGGTGTAAAGGTGGCTAGAAGTGTGCATTGGTAAGTTAGGTCGAACTAGGAAGACCCACCCCCGGAACATGAGCCAAATAATTGTAGCATCTTGGCCGAAACTCCAGAAAAGAACACCCAGGACACACTGGTTGTTTCAAAGCTTCGAGTTCTCGCATGCGGCCGACCGCTCCGATCCATTCAAAGATCTTCATACCGTGCCAGAGCTGGCGAATCGGGGGACAGTTCATGTAATCTGTAGTCATGCCCTTTTTCTAAATTGGAATGTTGGTACACTGGTGTCGTCTCCCAGGCACCTTCTTGTCTGCGACGACCTGATTGAAGAACTTCATCAAACGCGCTGCCGCCATCCAACTCCGCAAGCTATTTCCGTTTCCTCCACAGTTGTGAAGATGTTTAGATGAGGGTCACGTTTCCAAAACTTCGTGTTTGCGATGGTGGGTTATGCGAGTCAGATTATTCAGGGGTTCACACACCATCGATGTTACGTGAACCATATACTAACCCACCACGACAACTGCAGTCACCTTTCGTAGAGCCAACGTGTCCATTTGAGTCATCTGCGACAACAATAGCTTCTCGTGGTGGCACTTCGGCTGTCTCCTCACCTAGCAAGATCCGAAATTCCTCCTTTATTTGCTCACAATAACCAGATTGTGCAGATTATGCAGAGGAAATCTGGTAAGACTGGCGTTTAAGAACGACTACAATCTTTACCAGTCACTCGCTGAAAGCTCGGCGCCCGCAATCGAATCCAGAAATGTTTGAAGACAATAGCTTCGACAGACGTTGGACTGGTTAGGTTACACTCTCCACCTTACGTCTACTCGACTCTCCCTTTTCTCAACCTCGAAATGTGGTGTAAATCATATTTTTTGAAACAAAATATATCAACGCATAATGAGCTAAATATGCTTCGAGTGCTATACAACATGGTTCGAAACTCTAGAAAATTATGGGAAAGTATTAAGTACTGAAAAGAAAGCTTTTTAGGTAACGACCGAGTAGACCATCCTTCAACGTAATCTCAGGCCTTTTCCTCACTTTGTTCAGTTCTCGGCTCTAAAAATCTGCTGCACTCTTTAATTAGAACTTTGTTCATACAGAGGCTCTAGCCAGTGTAGGTATATGGTCCTCAACTTGGGTAGGAAGATGCCATCGTAGGTGATGGTATCTTCCTACCCAAGTTGAAGATCGTATACTTCTCAGGCCTTTAGTTAGAAGCTGTTTCCAGTCCCATATTGAAGAAGAGTCCGCACGTTTCCTTGAAACTAATGCAGAGCTGTAGAAACTTTATAGGTACCTCGAAAGTCATTCTACATTGACCAAAAAAGTTGCAGCCAGCTCGATTTGCAGTGGGGTATTCGTGGTGGTCTGTACCATGATTTGAACCTACTGCGCAGCCTATTGCTTCTTGCCATCGTGAAGGGGACCGAAGCTAGTGGCGGTCGACGTCAACTTGTTTTCTCATTAATGGGAAATCGTTCTCTGAAGATTTGCTGAATTGTAACTAGATTTAATTTCAGTTGATGGTTCGTGGTATTCGAAGCGTTGGGTCGTCCGAGGAAGAAACGCAAGTAATACGCTTTCTCAATCCTCTGACAATAATCAGTGGTCCTAACGGAAGTGGAAAAACAGTTGGTGATACGCTATCATGTGTTGGGCTCCACCCATATTGAACTTTCAGACACTTATTGAAGCTCTGAATTACATTACTACCGGATCCCTTCCGTCCGGTAAACTTGCTTCTTTTGTTCATAGCGTAGAGGTGGGCCATCGTTTTGCACCTGCATAAACTAATTACGATGTCTTTCGATTACTCTAATAATTCGTCATTTTCCTGGATACCTACTGTACATTGCGGGGTGAGGCAATAATTGGAAACAAATAGCGAGTAGAGAAACGGGATTCTGAACTGCTGGGGAGTTTGGCCAGTGTTACCTTCTCCTTCAGCTCCTACGGAAACTTTGCTGTTTTTTTCGATGACGATGAAGTCACACCGCAATTTCATGATAAATTTGCTCTTTTATTGTTAACGGGATTTCTTCTTTGTCCGAATCTGTGAAGTAATGCACTATCGAAAGCTGTTGCAATGTTCCCGGAACCAGGAACCAGGGACCTCTCTGATGACCTTACCGGCCTTCTTCTGTAACCAACAATATCAATATCAAAGCAGCGGCTGTTCGAATTTTGCTCCTGTTCAGTTCTTTTTGAAAAGTAAAACAATCCGACATGTCCTCCGTTTTTTACTCTAAACTTTTGTTCCAGAACATTTATTTTGATTCCATAATTTTGCCTCACCCCTGTATTTCATTATGCTATTCGCATATGCATTGTGACTTCACAAACAATGCTCTAAAAAAGTTGGCTACTATTATATTTTTGATGCCTTGAGCAACCTACTCACCACTGAAAAATATTATTGAATGGCAAGATTGTCAATCAAGGTCTCTTATAGTGTTAGGTCCAGGCTAGAAAGTCTGCTTTACCTGCTCTCCTGAATCTTGATCAAACGCGTTTGTTGGGTTAAAATACGAGCAAGCTCATGACATTCTTACACCTCAAGTATAGAAATGTGTACCGCGCTGGCGGCCTTGCAACCATATAATCTCAGCATACATATATGACCTTTTTCGTTTTCATATTGCGTCAGAGAGTAGTTGTTTTTTCCCCTAATCAATCATTTTTCTTGCCTGTACTGATGTTTTTCAACATCCTAATAATTTTCTATAATCTTCTGTCCGTTGTGCGGTGCACTATGGAGCACTGGTAAATAAATAATACTATGACAGATATGGTTCATATTCACAAGGTTTAGGCATGTCTCAAACCGCGTGTTGATGGCTTGGTGAAGTTGCAGTTCACAGATTGCAAAGGAAGGTTGTGTGTTGCAACAAAAAGAGTTAATGCTACATTGTCAAAGGTATCTTTGAATCCAGATCATATTTAGCGTAATGCAGATAATGCATTATAGAGCCAAGACAACTAAAGGCTGAATTTCTATTCTTGCGTACTTTCGAAACGTTCTAGAGTCTGTAAACAACAATGTATGCGTTGGAGGAAAATTGAGATGTGTGGCAATCAAGCAATTTATCGCTCCGGGGTACACGAGTTGGTATCAGTGTCTTTTTGGAAAAAATCACTGAGTTGGACAACTCACTACCTTTTTAGTCTATCGTAGTATGCATATCTAAACCTAGTAGTCAGATTCCCAACGCTATTGCATGGAATTTGAACGAAACGTATTTCGTGATGGTAACGGCAAACACCGACAACTTTCAACCTTTGCCTGTAATGACAGAATGCTGTTGCTTCCCCTTATTTCATCATTGTTTCTTTCCCTTTTTTCTGGCAAGTGTTTTTCTCCAATTCATTTGTGACATTTTCGATTACGTCAGCTGCTAGAATTTTCTCAACATTTTTTCAAAAAAAAAAACGATAAAAATATTCAACAAAGGTATGTTCTAATGCCGCTCTGGAACGTATCCACCATCCACGCAAAGCACTCCTTCCTATTTGCTAGGCATTCATTCGATTTCAATAGCAAAGACGTTCAGATTTTGGAGGCGATCCAGGCTTTGGCCCCCTCGACCATCAAGCCATCCAATTCGTTGTATGCTCTGTTCGCTAGCCAATTTTTCATCGAAGGATTGAGGTGATAGTCCATCGGAGTTTCTGTCTGTTGACATGGCAAATGTAGGAGCAAATCTGATTATTTATTTTTCTTTAGCTGATTGTTCCGATGCCGAAAAAATCGTGGGAATCGCGGAATGACTCTGTCACCTTCCAACTTTCCTTTTCTTCCAAGTAGTATAGCGTAAAGTGGCGAATATGAAGATGACTTTCTAGGCGCATTTCTGTTGAGGAAAGCGAGAAGATTATGCCAATAAAAATCCAGAATTGAATGTTCAAATTGTTTCAAGAGAAGAAGGCGCGAAAAAATCCGCAATAATTATTCATCACCTCTATATTTTGCGCTGAACATTTTGGAACTGAATGAGAATTCGATAAGGAAGAGTTCAGATAAAACCCTACGTAGGTATCATTCCATATGCAGATTTTAGGAGAAATCGGTGGTGTATTGGACGATGCGTTTATCGAAAATTGCATGCTTTTGTACCTGTTCCGTAAGGCAATAAGACACCAGTTCAATATTGGACCCTTGGGAGAAATTAACTCCAAGAAGTTTCTAGGGCTTTACAGGTGTCGGCGTAATTGACTAAAAATAAAAAGACCATTCCTATGGAACGGTCATTTCAATGAGTTGATCATAAACCTTTTTTCGAGGATCAAGGTAATCTATCCCGTTTTTGCTATGCGCTCTCAGCTTCGACTTCCATTCAGGATCACAGTGGTGTTCTGAACCCGTCTGTGACCTATACAACGGCTTACGGTCGTCAGTTGATATGCATCTCCATATCTTTCATTTCCCAAGACCAGTGTAGTATCTTTTAAATGATTATGGTTTGATTATAGGCTTGATTGGCTTACAATCACTCCGAGGTTGGTTAACTGATATTATACTCGTCTTGGGAAATGAAAGTAAAATGAGCAGATATCGGTCCGGAACTCGAACCTCGAACGATGCGGATGGGATTGTGTGCCACTTTCTAGAGCACTTTTTTTCTGCCCAAATAAGTACAATATTGTGTTGTAACTACAATATCAACACAAATAGCATCACAGCGAGATTCTGTGATTTTTGAAATTTTTTCAAGCTCAATAACTGAAAAGAGGAGACACACCGTAGTAGTTCCCCTCCTATGCTCTCTGTTGGGTTTTTAGGTCAGTACATTCGTCAAAATTTGCTATCTTGGAGCCTAGAAAATTTGCCAACTCGGAGTCAAGGACTTGGACTAGAAGCAATGTAGATCCATAAAGGGCAAGAGTGGTTGTTCCCCAGTTGCGAGTATCAAATGCTGTTCAAAAAAAGCGCTGAAGTTCTGGCTTGTCATTTGTTTGGCGGCGAGTATTCGAAGTGGTAGCTATATGGGAACTAATCATTTCATTACATTCACTAAAAAAAAGGAGTCTTGTAGTGTGGTCGAACTGCAAAGCAGAGAAGATTAACTACAGGGTAAATACCTGTTCCAACAGAAGCATTGCATGTATACGCAGTTGATATCGAGGTGAAGGCATTCGCGGTGCGATATCAAACAGGGTGAGAGCGTGGTGAACAACATCGACATATTATGATGGGCACTAGTCGCCTTCTACAGATCATTTTGAATCGCTCAAAAGGGGATCTTATCCGCGGCTCTCAAGGGCCCTGAAGTGGTACATTGGCGGGTTGGGTCGCCCATAGTGCTCCTCGATAATCTGCTCTCGAGCGCAGCTGGTATGCTTTCCTTTTCCTGAGTTGGTCATCGACTTAAACATCACGTAGACATTGTTCATGATGCAATCTTACTCGTCCTCGGATTCATTTTGAAAATCGAGCGCGATGGGCGCGAATTCATTGAATCTCGAATCTTGCTCGAACATCTCTTATCGAGCTTCGTTATGTCGATTGATTTGAACCTCCATTTTTAGAATTCTTCTGTGTTGCAAGTTTATTACGCGAGACTGGAGCAGTGTGATCGTTGACTGAAGATTCCATCTGGTGTTTGCCAGATAACGTAGCACACGGCACCCGGCGAGTCTTTTGTTTCCGAGGATTGCTGGAAGCGCTTTGTAATCTGTCAGACGCTTGAAAAGGCGCCGATGACAATAGCCGTGGAATTTCCGTACGCCCAAATCGGTGTCAGTCCCGCTTTTTCCACTTGTTCATAATTCTTGGCAGATGTCAAAGTTCGCAATGTTTGTTAGCTCGGCTTCTCCGAGGATTCATGTGGTATAAATTATCCTATGCTATACTTGAAGGGAAAGGCCGTTACGAATACCTTTTTTGAGGGGTTGTAATGAGTGAGTAGTAAGTCTGACTGAGAGGTTTCATGGTGTGAGTGAGTCTGCACTTTTTCATGCCATAGTGAGAACCAATTCCCTAATTTTTTCGAACAAGGCTTTCAAATTGGCCATTTGCCTATCTGTGGTACCATCTATGACAAAAGCATCGTCTAGATATGCGGTACATCTAGACCAGCATCCATCGAGTCCATGATCGTTGTATCATGCCGAACGAGACTTTACTCCTAAGAGAGACGACTAAAGCAAAATAGCTCTATGATTGTTGATCAAGAGTTCTTCCGAAGCGTCGCTGGCTTCTCCTTGCAAGTAGGCTTCAGCAACGTCAATATGCATGAATATAGCTCCATCATTTAACATTGAGAAGACGTCGTCGGGCGTGGTCACCCCGACCATAGGTCCTTTTTTTGTTTTGATAGATAACAGGAGGACTCTTTTGCCAATAGTCGGTTTCCTTGTCTGCAGCGGCGACGTTAGCGTGCGGAGCCTTTTTTTCCCTAGAATACTGGTGGAGCGTCGCATATTGGCAGTGATGGCATCTCGGGAGACACAGACGCGGTTCCCAACATTCGTCCGATTAAGTCCTATCTATCCGTGAAGGTATGATAGTTGTTTGATCCATAACGTTCCGGAAACAGTGCAGTTGTTCGCTGTCACAAAAGAGGCTCAGTCTAGTAATGCTTCAACGTCTTATTGTAGGTCTCATTATCCCACTTCCATGGAAGGTTCTGAACTCAGGATCGGAAAACCATCTCAGGTACATCTGCAATCCTCCATCGGATTGAAGGATTTCCCATTCAAAGAGTTCTACAGAAACCTAAACAATAGTAGTTCGATGGTGCTATGTCCGGACTATACAGAAGGTGTGGTCAGACATCCCACCCATACTCCAACAATTTTCGACGAGTGCCCAATGATCGCACAAAGCGGCGTGGTTCATCAAATTGAGCTCGTTCAATTCGTGAGGTACTCGAACATAGGGGCGCCTAACAAGTCCCAATCCCAGAGAATAGTCCTGGATCATGATTTCGAAGTCTTTCTCCTATTTCACGACTAGTGGTGTGCCCATTCGTTTCAATTAACATTTTGATTTGGTCGTGATAGCCTCTCTGAGTGTTGCCGACCTTCAAGGATGAATTCACCTTGTTCATATTCCGCAAAAGCAAAGCCTTTGGAAGTGTAAATTTCAATTAGTCCCTTGATCAGAGTAGAGGTTTATGGTCGTCTAGTGTTACTGAGAACTGTTTTCCACTTCGCGCAGGATTCGCAGCTCTTGCTCTACATTTCGGGAAATAATAACGCCTGCTGTCTTTTAACGTGATGAATCCTTCACTGTGGTGGTAAAGAGTTGAATATTGAACTGCTCGTTGCAGAAGACTGAATTCAGTCAGTTCAAAACGTCGCCTTTGACTTGGGCTAGTTATCACGCTACATTAATTCGTTAGAAGTGAACAAGGATCATCTTCCAAAGTTATTCAAGAGAACTCTTGCCGTTAAAATGGGAGGGTGCTGACCCTAGTTGCTGTTCATCTCAGTACCGATTTGAAAAGACAGGAAGGTATAGAGCATGGATACCTCATGATCTAAGTGACCAGTCAGTTCCAAACACTGTTTTACTTTTTGGCTTTGAGAAAAATATTCGGTAGGAGGAGGAACGTGATAGTATTGACGTAAAGAAGGTTGTCCAGATTAAGTAAGATTGAGGCAACGCTTACCCACTAAGTAAAAGACCTGATAAGCTTTAACTATGTAGGTCTTGAATAGTGTGTTGTGTAAACATATTAGTCGCTCAACAGACGGCGGTTTCAACAGTTTGAGGCTTTCAGCTGCTTACAATGTAGGATGAAAATGTGGTATTTAATCAGGAAATCCTATCCAACAAGGCACGCTGGAAAGGATTATATGTCCCACTATGTAAGCCATTTAGTGAAGTATGAAAGCATGCACGCCTTACCTATACATGCCCTCGACTTCCTTTAATCTATTTTCCGCTTTTCTCTCCGTCATAATCTTCCGGTAGTGATATCTCTCTCTCTCAGTCCTTTCTTTTTCCAGCAAGGGAAGTTACAGTGCAAATCCGACGAGTTTAATATACAAATAACACTGAAAGATGGGCAGGTTCACAGTCTCTCTTCTAAAGTAGCTGATTTTCAAAAAGAGGTTGGTTCACATTCTGCTCTGGAAGTTCGCATTGTGTCTTCAAAAATGTTGCCATAGATTGTCAACCTCCTCGGCGTACCTGCAGCGATCCTAGATAATGTAATATTCTGCCATCAGGAGGATTCTAATTGGTTTGCATCTCTTACACATATCTATTTGTAACTCAGTTCAACTAATTTTTCATGCAGTGCTTACTCAGGCCCCTCAGCGAGCCGAAGGAATTGAAGTTGAGATTTGATCGGATTTTTCGATTGACTAGATTCGTCAAAGCAATAGAGATAATGAAAAAGATGAAGAAGGATTACGTAAGTTTTACAAGGTGCGCCACAATTACCCACAGACTGGTGTCACTGCATAAATTTCTTTTAAGATGTTGTAGCGAATGGAAATGGTTGAATTCTGTATGCCATTGTAGACATGACTTTCAACTTTGTCCTGATAGGTTGCGTCTGCGTCATGGGGTGATTGATAGTAAAATGGCCATGCTTTCGTTGTCGACTTACGCGCGAGAGGACATACGAAAGGGGAGGAGCGCGAAAAGCTCTCTACTGTTAAAGCCGTATTTTACTAAAATGCAACAGGGTGCTTGCCGTTGTCTGACGAAGCGAATGCAGAGGAGTAGCTTGTCTTGCGTGCCTCTTATTAGAGCTTTGTTACATTGTTGACGGAACTCGGCACTCAAAGCGCTCACTAGTGAGAGCAGTACTCCTTGATTCCGTGGATCGGGCGTTATAATCAACAAGAACTAATGTACTACCTGGAAAGCTTCCAAAGAAGAAGCTGCTTCCTTGAAACCAAGTATTACGGCTATGAGATTGTACGTTTTGTCAAGATTACTCGTGCGCGCAAATCTCGGAAGAAGTCGGAGTGGGTTTGAAGCTGTCTGGTTTCATTTTGACCTATAACCGCTCTGTTTGTGAGCACTCAAAGTAAGTCTGTCCTACACAACGTGAAAATCTTTATCGCTCAAGGGTGTCCTACATCGAAACTGGGACAAGCTGGCGTCATCTACTAGCATCGTGATGTTGAGTTCTTTCTTAGTCGTCTAGGTAAGACCAAGAACAAAGAAGGGCATATCGAAATGTGCTTGGGTTGAGTTGTTTAGAATTATGCTGCTAAGCAGTGATTCGAATTTTGAGTATCTCATACCCTAGATGTGGAGTGGTGCAGCAGCATCATTCGGGTCGCTGCATAGCGTGATAACACTAGACACTTGAAGTAATATTACAGCCATCATCCCTTAGTTTCTTTAATTGTTATAATTGTTATAATAGATAAACAGGATAGCAGGGTAAAACTAAAGGCAGAGCAGCGGCTCAAGGGCCCAATAAGCAGAAATAATAATCGCGTACCGTTTGACGTGTGGGAAGTACGCAAGAACTGCAATAAAAAGGCAACTCGCCATCAACTGTCGCGTGCAACGGATTGACCCCGTGAAACCGATACGACTGCACGTCTCTTATCCACACCACTCACAGAATTAGTACCATTCGTGGGTGACTTTGGCGCACTCCTTAGATGATGCGTTTTTCTTTTGGTATTTCTCGTAGGGGTGAAAAATTTTTTATTTGCAGGAAAGTCAGCTAGCGACTCTTGTGGAGAAGCAGTCGTGCAAGGAAATGGTGGTCAAGTCAAAAATAAAGGTTGTGGGTGTTCATATTTAGTGCGCCCTCATTTTGAAAGAGCATTTCAAGTATGTGCATCAACGAGACTCGTGCAATTCCCTTCGGAAGCAGTCCAAGGAATCGATTCGTTCTCTGGATACGAAAATAAAATTATGCACTGAAGTCATAGAGACTTCCAGTCAGAAGTTACTGGAAATAGAAGAATTGGAAAAGAATGCAGGTGGGTTCGGACTTCTTTATATACAACGTTATTCGCAGACATGAACTGTTTCCAGAAATTAAGAAAGCGGAGCTACGAATGTTGAACGAACAGTTGAGTACGATAAAAGTCGCTCCATATCCAGGTACCGAGAAGGAGCTGCGTGCAGAGATACAGGAGGTACGACTTTCCAAATCCATTCACATCGTCTTCTATTGCAAGCGTGAGATTACTCCAGTCATCAGTTAACATGAAGAAGATTGACAGGGTGCAAACAAAAGTAGCATGGATCATTAGAAGAAGAAGACTGCTATCATGGCGAATTGTTTTTCTCTTTTTTTGGCGTTGGTCCAAGGAGAAGAGGGCTTAGTGTGTTTGTCGTGATGAAAGTCAACTAGTTTCAAGGGCTATTGGAAAAGTCAGAAATGCTCTGCTCAGATGTCCCTTGAGTCGCCTTCTGAGCGTCCTTGCAAACAGTAGCTTTATGTACAGTACCAACGAAGACGAACTTCACGCTCTTGATAGGAAGTAGGAACAATTCTAAATGAAACTCGCAGAACGTTGACACTCAGGTGCATATGATAGGCGTTCGTGACAGGACGGCCCACGAGCTTCCATGTCACACATCAATAACTATTGAGTCACCTAAAATTAACTGTTGCTATGTAGATGTTGGTGCATCCTCGCACCGCAAATCCGAATCTCTTCAGAATGCAATCTAACCATGTACGATTACCATTTATTGTTGGTTTCTGTTCCTTCAAACTAGTTTTGTTTCACATAATGTTGTAATTGAAAGCATTTTCAGATCGATTCCTCCACGGAATTTCAAGAATTGGAGTCAAGGCGTGATCGTATGCAATCAAATATTGACTCTATCTCAAGTGACATAGTTAGAATGAAAAAGGAAAAAGAAGAAGCTGAGAATGAAATGAGGGACGCTGCTAGCATGAAAATGGTCAGCTAATGTCTTTTCAGAAAGACGTGGCTCTCTCCCACACTTGTCTTATTTAAAAACTATAGGAATCAACTTTTTTCCAGATGGAGAACGATATTCAGAATGATTTACATAATCTCGAACGTCATCTAGTCGCCTCTCTCGGATTCAGTGGTCCTGACTATGCCGGTGAACTAAGGGAAAAGATCTCTCTCGAAGAAAATGAGTTGCAAAGTTTAAGAGTGAGTGATTATGACGGGACACTTCATCGGTAATGTTTGTTGTTAACAAACGCGACCGCAATCGACATGATGAGTATTATTTCGATTTTGCACGCCGGCTCGAGGTGCTCCATAACTTTGCTTTTACTAAGTAGAAATGGTTGATTCCTTCTCAAGTCAGTGGGAGTCCCAGAAGGCTTGATTCGTTGACCTAAGACTTGCTTCTGATAAAAGCAGAGCTGGTGCGAACATTACTATTAAAGATTCGCTTAATTATGCCAGTGCCACTCTACTCGTTTCCATTGATAAACAGTATCTTGTTTGTCACAGATACTGTTACCGCTAAACACTTCGATTTTTTGTTCGACGAATGGCTGCAGTTGATGCTGCGCTTGCAACAAAATCTTGTGCTAATCAGCCTGCCCGTGCATAGAGTATACCGAACTAGTCGCTCTCCTACACTGTGCAATCTCGTTTTTATTTCCTGAAAACAAGTCTGCATCAGCTATACTTCTCTCTTCCCTTATTAGTCTACGATAATATTCTGTAATCGACAGTGTCGATGAGGAAGATAACCGGCTCGTCGAAAACCTCCACGATAGTGATAGCATAATGGAGAGTCAACAAGTTGTCAAGGAGCTTCTCTTTTGAGAGGCTCGGTGATACGCCAGCTTGGAATCGCGCGATTGCACTCAATCATCAACGCCAAGCTTGCGAAGCTACGCAAGAGGCGATGAAGGAAGATCTCGAGGAAAGAAGAGCAGTAGATCTGGACGAAGCTGCCGAGATCGGATAGGGCTTCGCAGAACCCGCTCAAGTCTCGCCAATTACAAGACGAGATTACTTCTGTTCGCCGTCGTGACGGATCAGTTACTGCATCTCAAGAGTAGTAGAGAAATTTATTTATGGCTTCTGTACGGGCTTCGACAGTCGCGGCACCTGGCTACCTACCATTTTATGCAAGACGAATGTCGTTCCTTTAGTACTCCCTTCCAAAACTCACAATTTCATCCCGCCGATGAAGATTTGACTAGCCAGATGTGTTGCTGTGTAGGAGGGGAAATCCAGACGTTATTGGTAACAGTGCCAAATCTGCCTGCTTCCTTTGATCGATATTGGTAACTATGCCAGATCTGCTTACTCTCTTTGATCCATGATTTCTTCGCAGCGATTTATTCTTGATGGGTTTTGCGGAACCAAACTTGTGGATTATATATAGTAGAGATAGGGTGTATATATAGGGTGCGCCATGAATATGATAGCAAAATAATTGTGCAGAAACCGCAATTCGTATTGATACATGGTGATTTCATTTGATCTGCATAGCATAGCATCAACGAATTGAACGCACGTCTGATATGACCCTCAATCTTTACCCTTAGGAGCACCTTCTCAAAAATGTTCTTATGGAGGTTTTTTGACCAATTCTTATACGTTCCTCAGCGAAAAATTAGCGATATTGCTCTGATGGCACAGATTCCAGCGCAAACTATCATAGAGAGGGAAATAGCTATGGGAAACGGTCTCACTCTCTCAGCTTCCTCACCACTTGTAGTTAGGAATGTACATGTACTCTGAGATTGAGCATTTCTTTCTTGCTTAACACCTTGTCAGAAAAAATTGTTTTGAAGCGCGTGCCGCGTTCAAGTAGGGCACGGCATTTGTACTTTTCGTAAACTTCTTCTCGTCGAAAAGCTCTTAAGGGCTCATGAGGCGCAGGTTTTTCCTATCGAAGTAGAACATACATTCAACTCGGCAGTCTTTTTTCTCCTGTTTCCGCAAGTTTCGTGGCGTTATTATTCCCGGGCAATTGCATTCAGAAAATGGGTCGTGACAGACGAGACGACCTTCTTGAGGTTTACCGTTGATCTGCCCACGCAGCGCCATCCGAGAGACTGCTACACGAGAATTGTTGAAACGACGAAATATGGCTGATCAAGGGACCGAATGGCTACTAGCCTGACGAATTTAGAGCACTAAAGCATACACGTGAGCTAAGGTATATCGTGTGATAAACATGAGAAAAAGTGCACATTTGCAAAAACCCTGCAGATAAGGGGCCTGCGGGCTTCCGTGAAGTTGATGTCATATTTATGGCCACCCTGTAAATATATACATATATATATATATATTTTCACAACCTGCGGTATATTTCGCACGCGTCCATATCTCCTTGTTTATACATTCATTACTTTATAAGCCGGTTAGGCCGCTTTTTTTCAAGTCGAGGGGATCGACCTTTGGGTACGTGGAATATGTTTTCAGTAGTTGCTCTTCTACTTTAAGGATTATTCGTCTAGAGACGTCGCTTTGAACCCACTGATGTATGTTAGGGATCTGAACAATTTGCTTTGAATACGATTATTTGCTTCAGCTTATTTCTTTTGAAGATGTCTCAGCTCAGGAAGCATCAAACATTGCACGAAGAAAAAACCTTAGCCAAGTGGATGCCGCCCAGATGGAACTCACTAGACTGACCTGTGAAGCAAATGCTATTTTGTCTTCTGTTGAACAGAGAAAAGGCGATATTGCCACCGAAGAAAGTAAACTGCTGGACGCGAATGTGAATCAACAGCAGTGAGCACCGCAGTTTATGCTTTCTGTGTATTTGACTAAAATAAATATGTGCATTGAAGGCTCGAAGAAATTTCGAAACAAATCGACAAACTTGAGATAGAACTTTCCAAGATTCCACTTCTAGAAGAGCAACATGTTGAAGATTTGCAAAGTCGGCGCCAACGCCTACAGAAGGAGGTGTGTTGTAGTATTGGGTCTACAGCTGGTTTTTTCACCTCGTTGCTTTGTAATTTCTCTTAAGGTGGAGGGATTGAGGGAACAATGTCGGATGGCAGAGACGATCGCTGAAACTGAAGGTGCAGTTGAAAGAAAGAGCGCTCAAAGGGACGAAGTGAAACAAGAGTTGAATGCACTGATCGAGAAACACTCGGACTCTTTAACTCTGGAGTTTGGAAAAGTCCCCGATGGTCCATGGAGGTAAAGTGTCTGCTGTTGATTACGCATAGAATCAATAATAAGTGCAGTAAGGAGGGTTACTGGAACGAATTTTTACCACTGAACAGGTGGGACAGCATGGGAACTTTCAAGACTTGCTCTTCTCTTCTGTTGTCATTGCTTTTTAATCCTACTGTGAACCTTCCACTATTTGCTAACAGTTGCATGTGCTTCCATTGAGTTCATGATTTTGTTTTTGCGATGATCCTCTCCAGGATTATTGTCTTTTTTTGTAGTTGACATGCGATGCATGGTATACTGAAACCCGAAAAAATTGGTGATGCTTCTAGGACATATTGTTCCTTACAAAGTAGTTTCAGGACGCGCTAAAGAGCTGTGGTTCGTCATTTCTAGTCTATAAATTTTCATAGCATTGCTACTTTCAGCTGTTGTCTCTTCGGCCGCATTCAAGGCTTTTCGTATTGAAAAGGGTCATACGAGTAGAAACGGAGTCCCCTTTAGGATAGGGACCTACTTACTACGTGAACGTTGGCGATCGTGGTGGGCGTTGATCATCATTGCCAGACGGTAAATAGATGGTTACCTTTCCAACGTATTACTTTCAGACATCTATAGCGCAGGATTTGCGGTTGCAATCAACTCTTTTGTGCCATCCTTTTTATAAACGGCCTTGTTCGCTGAGTTGGATATTAATTGAATATTGGTAAAAATGCCTTCGCAATCGAGCCGTTCGCTCTTTTCCATTTCTGTGATCCATTTAACTTAAAAAGGCATAGTTTTTCTTCTGTAATCACTTTTCTTCTATCTACAGAACCGCCATCAAAAGCTTCACAGTAATCTGCTTTTCAACGGAGGTTCCTCGGAAGCTTCGTGCGTTCTCACCGATTTTTCTGTGCTCTGAGGGCAGTTTGTGAAGTGTGCGTTGGCAATAGCAACGATAGCTTTTTCTACTTTCACAGCACAGCGAGGTTTTTTATTCTCGGTTCAAAAGTTCCGCTTATATCTGCTTAGCCTACTCTCGAGGTGCGAGAAGTAATGATAGTGTACCGCCGGGGAATGCATTTTCCAGCACTTGCATCATCTACGGAACACTTTTCTATTTCTCCAATGCGTTAAATTCGGAAAACATCTTGCTCGTTAGGTTCTGGGTTCACAAGGTTATTGTCACATCTTTGTATGACGACTGTCATGGATTAACCACAGTTATGCATGCCACGTTTCAACCCGGTATCCTTGACGCTTCGCCTCTGTTTTTTTATTTCTGCCACTACAGGCTTCGGTAGAACTTTGATTGGTCGAACACGCGGGATAACAACAGTCGAGCAGTTTTTTCAAGCAAGAACTTAATTTGCTTGGTTTGTTTAACTTAGCTGGTTTTTTTTTCTCATCTCAACCGTAGTAACTTCTATAATATCATTTTTGTGGAAGTCCGTTCAGGTAGGTGATTTCTGTCTCCTATTGAAATTCCTCAGAGGGCAATGAAAAGAAAATATGGAATACTGAAAAGTAGCTTCAAACAAAGCAATCATCATCGTGGTTCCATTAGTCGATGTTCACGTTCTTTTCTTCACTCGGAGTAAGTTATCTAGTTTTTCGTTGGCGTAGGATATTGACCACCTTGTTGAGTTATTTCATGTCCCTCGTTCCAACTGGTTCTCTTGCTTGACTGCTTCGAGTTTGAAATGCTACTTTTCAGAGGATCTAGGGAATAAGTAATTCATCGAAGTGTCTCTTCTGCGAAATACGTTAGCATCTCTGGCCGTACCGTTGCTACGAGTTTCAAATTTATTCTAGGCTTCCAGTTATCACTTTCTGATAGGAAGCGAATACTGTAGAAACGAGTTCCGCTCAGATGAGAGGGAGAGAGGCTTTAGTCCTGTATAAGGTCTCTTCGCACCTCCACCTACTCACCTATAGGTGCCTTCACTTCACTGATGAGCAGCAAATTGTAGCAGATGTTTTGAATGTTGACTTTTACCTGCCAGATATATCAATTCCAAGCTTAAAAAGTAACTGAAAATAAAATTCCTCGAGAAGCAAGGGCTGTGTTAATCGTCTTCTCGAGTAGTTTCAGGTCTACAAAGGTTCATTAGGGAGGTAAGAGGCGACATTTTTGACTTCCGTTCCTATTTGCTTTTTATCGGGGAGAAAAAAAAAACTGCTGAAGCAACACACGACGTTTGCACCGTATACAGGGAGAGGTCATGGGTGAGTCTACAGCACGAAAATGAATTACAAAACGCAAAATGGTTCCGGTATCGATTTCTGGTTCTGGAACGGATTCTACATTCGACGAGTCAAGAATGGCGCAAAGGCATAATGTATTGAGATATGCTCAGGAGGGATGTTACGTTCACCAAGGAGCATTACACAACCCAGTTACATCGCGTGGAGGAGGCTATGCTACTGAAGATAACTTATCGATAAAGAAGAACCATACTTCTTTATGACAACGCCAGGCACCATATTGCTCAAGTCGTCAAAGCTGCACTTCAGCTCTATTGAGAGGTCATCCACATGCGCCGTTCTTGAGACCTTGTCCCAACAGAATAACATCTGTTCCGCTGTCTTCTGAACCATATGAGGGGCGTTACCTTTGACAATGAAAAGCTGTTCGAGAACTGGTTCAACAACTTCTTCGTTACCTCGGCGATTTTTGGCAGAACGGCATCAAAAGTAGGTCAAAAGGTGAAGAGAATTGTTAACAGCGATGGCAAATACATATTAGATCAGATCGATCGTGTAATTGCAGAAAACTCGATATCCCCCAACATAATAATCGGTATCGCGGGCGCCAGTAATGTCTCCATCAGTTCCTGTCGCGAGTCAGAGAAGTCCAGTGGGGCATCCTCGCTCGGTTTTGTCAAACGAACACTAGTACGGCTGGCGGCCGTCATGGTGTTCGTTTGACTTCCTGAGGAATCCAGTCAGTACCCGCTCTGGTCCAACGGTTTCGATTTCTTTTTTTCGATTTCTTGCCGTAGTCAACGACATCCCTAATCTTTATTCGTTGACGGTGCTCGGTGATCCTAGATTCCCTTTTGCACTTGTGTGCACAGGGAATCGTCCTAGCGCGTTGAATGTCATGGTCACCCTACTTTCGTAGAGTCCAAATCTCTGAGACGTATGTCAAAGGAAGGACCGTAGTGTCGAAAAGATAAGAGCCAGATGAGATTGTGATTGTGGATAAGTTTTGCCTTTTTTATTGCTCCCTTTCAATGTCTTTAAAGGCACTGTTCACGAAAAAATGGTTTCGGAGATTTGCACATGGTTTGAACTCGAAGCCCCCTCTGATACCATTTGTGCAGGAATGAGGTCGGAAAACGGCTGGATAGGGCACAATAAGGGCAGGGACAGTGGGGGACGTCAGGCCTCCGCCCTTCGCTAGGCTGACTACGAGTTCTAATTGTCCTTCACCACATTCGCATTGGAGCGAAGTTGGTGAAAAGTCGATACGCTGATTGGCAAATTGCCAGGAATGGTCAGCTGGTCGACCGCCTCGTACAGGAGCTAGTATTCAGCTGTTATTTCTATTATTCTACTATTATTCTGCGCTACTCTCTTCTAACAAGGGAAGGATAATTGGTCGCAGTGGCCATTCAAGATGAGATGTA